AGATTGGCGAACAGAATTAAGGAGTTGGAAATTGATGATGAAAGTCATATTAAAAGAAGTAACAAATGGGTGATGGAGAAGAAGAAGACCAAATGTTGTAACAACTGGAAGCTAATCTTCGTGTTTTTTGTTGTGGTTTTTTTTCTATTTTTAAGCATTACCAAGAAGAATACTGTGGAGGATGGAAAATTCTTATGTAGTTGTGTACAACCATTAAAATTATGATAGTTGTGGAAATAAATAAACGTAGTTTTGCACTCCTGTTCCAACATTTTTACTTGTTCTTAACATAACATATGAGTCAAATGTCGCAACATATGAGTCAAATGTTGCTACATATCACCCATCTTTAGTAATATGTGACTCAAATGTTGCTACAGATGACCCATGTTTTCTACATATGAGACATATGTTGCTACAAATGACTTATATGTTGCTACAGATGACTTATATGTTGCTACAAATGAGTCAAATGTTGCTACATATCACCCTTATGTAGCAACGTTTGACCCTGTGACTCAAATTTTGCTACAGATGACCCATGTGTTGCTACAAATGCCTCAAATGTTGTAACATATCACCCTTATGTAGCAACGTTTGACCATTTGAGGCATATGTTGCTATAGATGACCCATATGTTGCTACAAATGACTTATCTGTTACTACATATCACCCTTACGTAACAATATTTGATTAAGTACTTGCTCTCGATATAACATCACATACTATGTACTTGCTCTCAATACCAGATAACCTAACATAAGTGATAAAATAAAACATTGTCATTAATTACAAACACATTGTCAATGCTCCAAGCTCCTAGATACTATCGCAGCAACCCAAATCCATTGCATTCGACCAACTGTATTGTCACACAACAGGGTTTGGGGAGGTTGAATTGTTGTCATGGTAATCAAATGCTCAATAAATGCAAGCGAATATGACCTGCACGCGGCTTTGGTATCATTTGTTACCATGGGTTCCAATCAACCTTCAAATTCTCATGGTTCATTAAGGAACTTATCTGGCAAATGCTTCATTATTCCACTTTGCTTCAATAATTTTGGCAGCAACTCGAACACAGGTTGTATGAATGTCAAAAACTTGGCATGTTCCATACCCATCAGTTGGCAGTCATAAACATCCAAGCGACCCTCGTGCAAGAGGATCTCAAGAGTCACAAAATGAGTTTTGTTCAGGTTCATGACTGCAAAAATCCTTTTTGCACCAATCCAATCCATGCCTCCAGGATATGGTCTAATGCCCCTGACATAGTTAATCATATCTTCATCCCATTCAAACTCATTAATTAATTGTGTAAAGCTTCTGCCACCAACTGTTGTTGCCTCCTTGCTCATTTTGTCATATCTTTGTTTGAAGTTGGAATAGAAGTTGAGATCTAGGATTCTATCTGTGGAATCATAGTACTCAGGGTATCTCACATGCCTCTCCCGTATGAGGCTAAGAATTTCATCAATATACTGAAATAAAAAATAATATTAAAAGTAAAGAAGAGTAATCATTGAAAAGATAAAACAAATGAACATTATAAATTGAAGGTACTAGCAGAGAAAAATTACTCAATCTTCCCACCAAATTTTCATGCTTGTCATGGTCCTGAAATCTTCTCCACTAAAAACATGCATGCCGTATTGTGCACGGAGTTCCTTTCCTCTCATCAGTTCCACCAGTTTGTTCTTTTGAGCTATAGGCACATGCTTATAAAGATTCACTTGCTTGAGCTCCAACACTTTCTCTCTTACTCCATTGGCAATTCTCCAAATATCTTCTTCTTCAAATTTTGTATTGCCTTGATAAAAGATTTTTTTTTCTCCTCTTTGCCTGTGGAGTATATGGATGTCGAACATTCTTTGATGGAATGACCTTGACCCCTCTCTTGTTTTTAAATTCATTCACAGCCTGACTCAATGTTTGAAGATACATGATAAAATCTTCATCTTGTTTCTTGCACTTCTCACATAGAAAACCAGAGCATCTTCTACAAGAGGTAGCCTCTTAGTATTGTCCAACAACACCAGTACCATCACCAACACCAATATCACCACCAACATCAATACTAGCATCAGCATCAATACCACCACACACATCAACCCTATCAAAACAACTAATTCATTATCAACTTTGTCTCTTTTGATGGTTGTTGCTCCAACCAATTCCATTTTAACTCTATCCACAACAGGATCAAATAAGGTTTCAACTAACCCTAGAGTAATTAGATATGACATTTGCAATTCCTTTTCTATTGGGACAAGCCATGGGTGCACAACCTAAAATTATAAAAATAAGTCATCTATAGGAATACTTGGGTGAGATGTTGTAACAATTTGGGGTCATATGTTGCTACAGAAAGAGTCATATGTTGCAACATATGGCCATCTATAGCAACATTTGTGTCACATGTTGCTGCAGATGCCCCATATGTAGCAATATATGCATTATCTGTAGCAATATTTGGGTCACATGTTGTTACAGATGGGTCAAATGTTACTACAGATGATGCATCTGTTGCGACATATGGGGCATCTGCAGTAACAGATGACCCATCTGTAGCAACATATGCCTCATATGTAGCAACAATTGATACATATGAGAATGTCAAATTTGTAATTAACAACTTCAACTTACTGCATCATGAGGAGGGTTAAAAAGATCTGGAGGATTTTTGACATTTTTTGCTCTCAACCATCTCAATATCCTTGGAGATGAAATCTCTTCTTCTGCAGTTACTTGATGGGTCAAATGAGGAATGACTTCAAATGCCCAAGCCTATAAAAAAGGAAAACATGTCACAAATCAAATGTTGAATTATTCAATAAAATATAAAAAGATTAAGAACATTTATGTTTACCATGAAAGCCCATGGAAAGCCAAATAATTTATTGGTCTTTGGAGATAAAGGTTTCAACAAGTATTGACATTTAATTCAAAGTTGTCATAACCCCAAGGATAGTTGTTGAAAGCCTCAATATCCTCAGATAAATTCACCCATTTAAGGGATATGTAGGTGTTGACATCTTTGGCCAAAAGTACATTATGTACAAATCAAAGTAAGCACAATGACTCCTTGTGCTTCTTTGATGTATCCTCGTCATTCAAAAAATTTATTAAATCGGGATTTTTGAAGCTTGTGCCAACAAGGGACACCAAGTCCTGTTCCTCAGTTGACTGTCTTGTTTCTTCTTTTTCTTCTTTCTTTCATCTCCGTGGTTGTTTTTTGACCATGAATTCAGGGATTGGCTCAGAATGAGGATGACATTTTAACCTTGAAACTATGGCAAACTCTCTTCTTCCAAAGAAGAGTGGTATGCCACAATAATTAATCAAAATCTCATCCTTCTTTTCAGGTTCATAGACCATGGTCATTTGAAAACAAGCATTATTATTCTCTGGCAAATCAAGAAAATGACCAAAACAACTATTCCTAAAAAAATCTTCCAAACCCTTCTCCTTGAGCATGATCCTGAAGGAGTCGAAAGTTTTTCCCATGGCTGACCTCATAATGCTATCACCAGTAGCATTAGGCTGGAAATGCACAAGGAAATTGTGTGCATTGACTGTTTTGATCTCATCATATTCAACTTCATTTTTTTCTTCTTCTTCTTTCTCAACATCTTTATTTTTTCCTTTATCTTCCTCAACTTTTTCTTTTTTTTCTTCTTCTTCCTCAACCTAATTCTCTTTTTTATCTTCTTCTTCCTCAACCTCTTCTTTTTTATCTTCTTCTTCCTCAACTTCTTTTTTTTTCTCTTCTTCTTCCTGAACTTCTTTTTTTTTCTCTTCTTCAACTTCATTATTTTCTTCTTCTCTTCTTTCTTCATCTACAAAACCTTCATGGAGAATTGGTAGATCTTCTTCAGAAACTCATGGTTCTACTTGAGAAGAAGCTCATGTCTCTACTTGAGAAGATAAAATTGCTTCAGATGCAAGTTCTTCTAAAAGAGTGGAACTGGAATTTTCATTCTGCTTCTTCCTACTAGTCCTAGGCTTCTTCTGGATCTTTGTGTCAGTTGTTTCGGTTTGAAATATAGTTTTTCTTTTGACAGGCATTATATTTGTATCTACAACCACAAAAATCAAATATTTATTAACAAAAATAACAACAACCAAACACAAACACAACAACACAACACACAACAGCACACAAGCAACAAAACATCAAACAAATACCACAAATGAAGCAACCAACAAACCACAAAACCCTAAACCCTAAACCCTAACCAAAACCAACTACAAATTGAAACTTTTTGAAAACAAATAATATTTCAAAAGGAATAACAACCAACCAAACCAAACCAACCATCCTATAAACAAATAAGCGATAAACCACTAAAAAGGTCCTGATTTAATACCTGTAAAAGTATTTCAAAACCCTAATTAAATTATACCTGAGAATATCGACGATAATGAAGAGGGCAACAATGACTTCTTGTATAAAATATCGCAACAAATTACACTTATGTGGTAGAAAATATCACAACAAATTACTGGATCTGTGAAGAGGAAAAATGGAGAAACAATAAGAGCTGAGAGATAAAGGAAGAAGGAATAGGAAACAAGTTTTTGGAATATGAATCGTCCTTTTATGGAGGAGAGAGGGAAAAAGGACAATACTGTGTTCTGCCTTTTGAATTTTTTTTGAATTTTGACAGTATAATGACAATTCAAAGTGAGATATGTTGCCACATATGACCTTCATGTTGGGGCCCATGTATATAATTATGTGATTTTTTTACCACAAATGTTACATATGTTGCCATATATGACCTTCCTGTTGAGGCACATGCAGATAATTCTGTATATGTTGCCACAAACACCATATTTCTTCCTTTCCATCATAATTGACATTTGTTCCAAAAAAATAAAAATAATAATAATAATCATTAAAATTAATATTATCAGCAAAAATGAACACTTCACCAATTGTTTTTTACAACTTATCAACAAAAAGGTAATTCACAATGGTATACATAACCATAAATCTAATCAATGGTGGTAACCACAATATTTTCATCTAACTTTGCTTTTTTAGGTCTAGACCTCCGTGGGTCTTTATTTTTACTAACATAGCCACTCAAAGCCTTTAAAATCCCATAATTCCATAGGAGTGAAGCATATCTCATGCGAAGGGTTTCAGAAATAATTCCATAAGATGGTACTTGTAGTCCATCACTCAAAAACTTAGCATATGCAGCAGCAAAAAGTCCACAATCTCTGCATGGTATATCATCAATTAGAAAATCACTACAAAAGGAACCCCAATTACCAACAAAAAAAATCGTTGGTAAATTGATCAAATTGGTTGACAAATTGAGTTACCAACCAAATGCCAACTTATATTAATCTGTTGCTAAAAGGCTCATCGGTAAATATTACCAACCGATTTTAATTTGTTGGTAAACTTACCAACCAAAAATCAGTTGGTAAACACCCAAAGATGTTGTTACAAAATTTTGAAACATGGCCTTGAAATTTCCGTTGGTAAATTCACCAACTATTTTTTGGTTAGTATATCGTTAATACCTTTACTAATGAATTGAAAAAGAGTTAGTAAATTTTTTTCTTCATTGTTCGATTCCGTTGGTAATACGTTGGTAATTATAGTAACAAATGTTTGATAGTAAACTTTTTCAGATACATTGGTAATTGGTTGACAATTTTAGTAACAGAAAATTTATGTTGGTAATTTACCAATAAATTTTAAGTACTTTTTTTTTTGGTTTTCCATCCGGTGTCCGGAACCCACATTGGAGTCTGACTAAATTTAGATTCACGTCGGGAAGTCCCACATTGGGGGGTAAAGCGCTCCCTAACAAAGGCGACTCCGTACCCAACGGGAATCAAACCCGAGACCACTGCGCTCCCTAACAAAGGAGGCTCCGTACCCAAGGGGAATCGAACCCGAGACCACTGTGCTCCCTAACAAAGGCGACTCCGTACCCAAGGGGTATCGAACCCGAGACCTTTTGGTTAAGGGTGAAGGAGTACTTACCACTCCACCACAACCCTTGTTAGTTATAAATTTTAAATATGTTAGTATGATTATTTGTTTTTCTAATAAATTTACTAATTGATAGTTAGTTTGTTGGTAATGTATCATTCAAGTTCAATGTTACGTTAGTAATTGATTGAAAATATGTTCAAAATATTATTAACTGAATGATTATCCAATAGTAAAATATTTATTAATTTATTGCATTTAAAAATCTAAGAGCACGAATATAAATCCAAAAATATTAATATCAATTTTATAAATCATATTTGAATGAAACAATGCAAAATCTATGATAACAAGTTAAATTAATCTCAATATGACACATATCATTACATCAAAAAAAGTAATTTGAACACGTTTACCAAAAATATTGACCAAATCTAAATTTTGGCCAAAAGTTAAAATGCCTAATAGCACGAACTGAAAATGGAAGCCTCAATACCTGAACCAATCATCCTATTAGATATAAAAATGACCTTCCAAAGCTAATTGCACTAACCGAATTCTCATCAGAGCACGTTTATAAAAAATGTTAAGTAGAGTCAAATTTTGGCCGAAAGTTAAAAGTTAAAACGCCTAACGGTACAAACTGAATATGAAAACCTCAAAATGCAAACCAACTATCCTATAAGACGAAAAATGGCCTTCTAGAGCTAACCGCGCTGACGAAATTCAAATTTGAGCTTGTATCCCAAAAAAATTGACCTAGTTCAAATTTTAGCCAAAAGTTAAAAGTTAAAACACTTAACGACACAAACTGAAAATAAAAGTCTCAAAACCCGAACCAACCATCCTATGAGACCAAAACTAAACTTATATGGCTAATCGCGGTGACAATTTCAATTCGAGCACGATTACCAAAAATATTGACTAAAGTGAAATTTTGGCCAAAACTTAAAAGTTAAAATGCCTAACTACACAAACTAAAAATAGAAGCCTCAAAACCCGAACACTCTATCTTATCACATCAAAAATGACCTTTCGCATCTAACTGCATTGACAAAATTCTCATCTGAGCACGTTTACCAAAGTTAAATTTTGGCCAAAATTTATAAGTTAAAACACCTAACGGCACACACTAAAAATGAAAGCCTCAAAACCCGAACCAACCATCCTATCAGATAAAAAATGACCTTTGGAGTTAATTACGCTGACGAAATTCTCATCTGAGCACGTTCACAAAAATATTGACCAAAACATAATATTTAATACCCTAACGGCACAAACAAAAAATGAAAGCCTCAAAACTTGAACCAACCTTCCTGTTAGATAAAGAATGACCTTTCGAAGCTAATGACACTGACAGAGTTCTAATCTGAGCACGTTTACCAAAAATATTGATCAAAGTCATGTTTTGGCTAAAATTTAAAAGTTAAAACGCCTAACGACACAAACTGAATATGAAAGCCTCAACACTAGACGCTGATTTACAAAAAAAATTAACTTCAATTGGTAAATTTGCCAACTATTCAAATATAAGTTAGTAATTAATAATTTACCAATAAATTTATCACAATTGGTAATAGTTACTATTCAACGAAACATTCATATGTAATATTACCAACTAATAATTAATATGTTGGTAAATTTTACCAATGGATTAATGATCGGTTGGTATATTACCAATTATTTTAATGATGTTAGTAATTTACTAACTACAATCTTTATTCGTCGGCAAAATTTCCAACTAATTGGATATTGGTTGGCAAGTTTACCAACAAATTACATTTCGTTACTAATTTATCAACACATTTATATTTGGTTGGTAAATTTAGCAACACAATCTTGCCGTTGGTAAATGTTTGGTTAGTAATTCATTGGTAATATGTTAATAAATTATATAAATAATTTTTTGTCATATTTACCAACCGATATATACTTCGTTGGTAATATTACCAACAAAAGGTGTGCGTTAGTAATATTTCAGTAGGTAATCCATTGATAGAATGTTGCTAAATTTGGCGCCATTTTTTCTCGCCGTATTTACCAACTAAAATACTTAGTTAGTAAGATATTGGTTGGTAATCTGTTAGAATTTCGTTGTTAAGTTTTAAAATATAATTCAATTAGAAATATGTTGGTAATTTGTTAGTAGAATACTAACCAACTTAAGTTGTTAGTAAAATCTGTTGGCAATTTGGGGTTTTTTTGTAGTGAATATAATAAACCTAATAACATCACATTTCGATAGTGGTAAGACAAAAAAATAATGTGATACTTACAGACTACTGCTTGCTTGTTGGGCAATACCAATAACATGTATGACTTCGAATGAGAGAGATTTGTTCTTTCCTTGGTAAGTTTCAAGAACTGGCCAGTTGGTTCGCTCTTTTTGCTCAAAAAACCCGCTGGATTCAAGGTACTTTGGCAACATTGTAGACAACTTTTGAATCTCGGAGCACAATTTTCTGTTAGTCCTAGATGAGGACATTGAATCATACACCTTTATGCACCATTCCTTCAATGCAACAACTGCCAAGACCCAATGAAACTCCCCATTATAATTTACAGGGACATAAACATATCTGTGAGGTGCGCAGTCTAGCAGGTATACCGAACCCTTTGATAATGCCAACAATTTTATTCTCATATTCAGGAACAACACTGGCTTTGTCAATGTATGTTTTGAAAAAAACAATTAGTAGTGGTATATCGATATTTAGAATGAATATGTTGCTTTGACTTCTTCCGCAAATAGTATAAAAATGACATCCACATGCTGCACAGATACATCAACAAGTGTTTTTCCGTATCAATTTATTTGTATGTATTCATATCTTAATCAAAACATAAAAGTGGGCATGGATTTACCTCATCAGTCCAACACCTATTGGGCTGAGACATTACGTAGAACCAACCCTTCTTCTTTGGAGATGCAACTACAAAATCCAGTTGTTTGAACTCAAGATTCGAGTAATTAGCTAAGTAGTAATCGTCCTTGTCTGTTCTGCAATTGTGTAATCATTATAAATAATTATTTAGTGGATAACAATAAGAAATACTAATAATAGTTTAACGACTTTACTTTTTTGCATGATGCTTGTAAAGACCCTCGTTTATCCATTGTGAGAAGGATGAAATTAGTTCAGTTGGACCCTCGTCGTCAATGTTAAAACCTTCAAATGGATATTGTTGCTTCACATCACAACTGACGACTTCAACTTTCTTGTCCTTCTTTTTCACTTTCTCCTTCTCCTTCTCCTGCTCCTTCTCATTCTCCTTCTCCTCCTCCTCCTCCTCCTTTTGCTTCACCTACTCTTTCTCCTTCACCTTCTCCTTCTCCTTCTCCTCATCCTCCTCCTCCTTCTCCTTCTCCTTCTCCTCCTCCTCCTCCTCCTCCTTCTCCTTCTCCTCCTCCTTCTCCTTCTCCTCCTCCTCCTCCTCCTTCTCCTTGCCTTTTGGGGTTGAGTGTGATACTGGAGCAGTAGTCATTGATTTTTTTTTCTCTTCCTAATTATAGATAGTGATTGGGAATAGATTCTTTCAACCTTCTACACTTCAAAGGCTGTGAAATCTTCTTGGATGTATGGACATCATTATTATAAGTGATTTTCTTAAAAATATCAGTGAGTTCTTTACACACGACTAATAAAATAATCATGTTGTTGCTCACACTCTTTGCATAGACAAAAAGAACATTTGATGTTAGAAGAGGAAGCAACACCAATAAAAGATTGAGTTGTTGTCATGGATGAAACTTCTTGTATCATTTGATCTACAAGGTAAATAAAAAAAGGTTAAGAGTTTACAATTGATTATAAAATAATAATGGGTAGCAATTTATACTTATGTTGACACAGATGGACATTCTGTTGCCACAGATGTACATTCATGTGCCACAGATGAATCTTTTGTTACTACAGATAACCATTTTGTTGCCCTAACACATAGGTTATATGTTCCAACATATGACAACTATGTTGGAATATATACCAACATATCACTAAAATGTAGCAACATACAACACATCTTTCAACAAATGAAATATATGTTGGACAACTGAACAAGACTATATTTCTAAAATCATATGAACAAAATAGTCACAGAAAGAACAACAAAAGCAACAATAACAACCTTTCACTGAATGTTAACAATACATATACATTTCCTCAAAATTAGGGCTTTTTTGGGTTTGTTAATTTTCTTTCAAAAACTGTAAATAATAGGTACCATTACACCATATTCAATTTTCTCATCTATAGAACGATTTACTGTTCATTAACCCAAGAAAAAAACTCAGTATTGTTCGAAATTTGTAAAATCTTTCAAAAATATGACTTAACCATTTTAAGTCGAACACAATCTTCAGTTCAGAAAGAGGAGAGAGTCACGGCCGGAGATGAGGAGGAAGATAAGATAATGAAGGAGAATTTTTTTTTTGATAGTCGGATTTTCAGATTTCCTAAGGAAGAAGAAGAAGAGAAGAGAAAATGTTGGGAGAAGAAGAAAAGAAAGATTTATTTTCTTTTACTTTTTTTTTAAATGGTTTGGATAGAATTATAAAAGTTGAAAAATGAAGTGTTTTTTTGTATTTTATAAAAGATTAGAAACTTTTGAAAATATTAATTTGGTCCCAGATTTACTTAATTACATTTTAAAGTGGATTTCACCCTTTCTTGGTAAAAGTGTCACAAAAAACAAAACCCAAACTTAATTGACACCTTTCATTTAATTTTTTCGGGCTTGATGGGTTGAGATCCATGGAGCTCACGGCTATCTAATCGACCAATTTCTGAAAGACCAAGTCAATGATCGAACTGACCAATATGGAGGGTCTTTAGAGAACTGTTGTTGATTTGCACTTGAAATAATTGAAGCGGTTGTAAATGAGATAGGAGCTGACAGAGTTTGAATAAGGCTTTCCCCATTTGCTGACTACAAGGATTCAGGAGACTCAAATCCAAGTGCTTTGGGACTTTACATGGCTGAATCCTTGAATAAGTATGGCATTGCATATTGCCACATGGTTGAGCCAAGAATGAAAACACCCTTGCAAAAAGTTGAATGTCTTGACAGCCTTGTACCCATGAGGAAGGCATTTAGAGGTACTTTTATTGTAGCTGGTGATTACGATAGAGAGGATGGAAACAAAGTTGTGGATGAAGGCCGAGCTGGTCTCGTTGCATATGGATGTATGTTCATTGCTAGTCCAGATTTACCAAGGAGATTTGAGCTCGATGCACCTCTCAATAAGTATAGCAGGGAAGCATTTTATACTTCTGATCCTAATGTTGGCTATATTGACTATCCATATCTATAAAATATGGTATGATGATGCTGAGGAAGCATTATATTGGATACCTTCTTTTGATGTACAAAGATATGGGTTTGTCTGCTACTTCATATGTCTTCACAAATAAAGTGATCTATATTACTATTAATAAAGATCACCTGGGTCTTCCTCAACAAGGAAAGGAATCTTAGATATAATAATTTTGAAATATTTGAAGTTGCATCTCATTTTGTATCTTGAAGTGTCAAGAGGATGTTAAGAAAATATTGTTGAAGAGGAAAATAGTTTAATAAATTATTTGAATCTCAACCTATATATGTACTTCCTCCTTCAGTTTTTTACTCGTCCGACATTTCACTTTCTTTTAAAAAATAAAATAAATGAAGTATATATTTTATTATAATATCTATGACTATTAGTATTTCAAAAAAAGGTTTTGCGAAATGATTTGAGAAATTAGTCGTTAATGTTGAGAGAAAATAGGAAAAAAAGATTGTCTTTCTCTTGACATGCTAAAATTAACTAGTTCAAAGCTAAGCAACAATAAAAACAAGGCATAACATATAAATGTGTTCTTCAACTTTGTCTCATCTTGCATCTATGCCCTTCAATTTTTGGTGAGCACAAGTCAACACTTAAATTTGTATGGAGTTGAACAAGTAGACACACACATCCTACTTGGCATCCTACGTGTATTATTTCATGTAGGACGTGTGTGTTTATTTATTCAACTTAATATTATATCATATACAGTGGCGTAGCCAGAAATTTCACGAAGGGTGTCCAAGAATCACATAGGTAAATAAAAATAATTTAACGAATGGGTGCACCAAAATTTTGTAAATCAAACTACGTAACAAATTAATGATTAATTTTCTTAATTAAAAATATACCAATTTTTTTAAAAAAATCAAACTACATAATATTTAGCTTTTATTTATGTTTATTTAATAGGAAGTGAATAGACAAAAAAAAGAAGAGAAAATTTAGTTTAGAATGAAATCCCTTTTATGCTTCAAGATTTCACAAACTTCTGATAATGACTAACAACGAGACATGAAAAATAAAAAGTAGAATTAAACGAGTTTTATTAAAAAATAATTATATGAAGCATTTAGCACGAGTTTTATTAAAAGAAATTTTATATAAAGCTTTTATCACTTTAGTGACTTTATAGAAAAAAAAAAGATTTACTTACTAACTTTAAACTAAATAATTACTTTTGAACTTTATTTAATCTAGTATACGTACCCGCGCTTTGCGCGAATATTTTAAAATGAATAATTTTGTTTAAATTAAAAATAACTAATACAAATTATCCGACGAAGCATATTATGTGTAATTATAGTTATCTTGAAATACAAATATTTTAAAATTTTAAATTTCAAATAAAAAATTATATCATATATTTTAAAATCGCAATTTTAAACTTAAACTAATATTGTGAATAGTCTTAAATTTGCTAAATAACTTATAATTGTGATATTGTTCTGGGTAGAATTTAAGGCTTTCTAAATATAGATAAATATTGTTTATCCTAAATTCAAAATTTTAAGTTTTATTTCTCGTAAAATTACTTTTCAAAATTTTGATTTTCCTTTTAACAATTTGTTTCGAAATGAAAAGTTAGTGGGAGGTTTTAAACCGTTTTTATTTTTAAATTGTGATGGTCAATAATAATTTATTTCGATTAAGAATTAAATTTAAAATAAAAACTATTTAGTTGGATAATCACTTTTTTTGTACGTTCAATTTAAATACTCCTATTTTATTTTATTTTAAATGAAATCTTTTACAATTTTTTTAGAAATTGAAGGTAGGGTAATGGAATATATATATATATATATATATATATATATATATATATGTGATAAATATACAACGTTTAATAGTTATTTGAAATTAGTACAGAACATAAAAACTTACAACTTACAATAAGATTTTAATGCTTTTTTTAATTTAAGTTATCAAATAAAAATAAATGTGAAAAGTGTAAATTCTCATAAAATAATGACTTTGAATTTCCTAGCTAACTCAACAAAAGATGAAACCATGTTGTTAATTTCAAATAAGGACACCTTCTAACCATATCAAACACAATTTTATACAACTTAAGATGTTGATTTAAATTTATAGTGTTAGAGACTTTCAAATTTCATAAAATTTAAAAAATCAAGTTTAAATTAGAGTCATTCAATTTCTATCTGCACAATGATAATTACAGAAGTATACATAGTTCTCCATTGAGTGCATATATGAGAGTGTTTCTCGCCGATCTGATAGAATTTTCAATAAATCTACCAAATAGAAGTAGATTCCATAGAAAGATACCCATACTTATTCTTTCATGATCATTA